CGTCCCTCTGCGGGGCCGGCACCCCGGGGTGAGCGCCCGCAGCAGCTCCCCACTGCCTGATGTCGGATGCCGGGGGCCAGAGGTGGCTGCTGGAGTGTGAGGTCTTGCTGGAGGGATGCTCTGCCCTGCATACACCTCGCGGGTGTGAGTAGGCAATTACTGCTGCTGGCTTATTATTTCAATCCTCATCCCCTTCTTTTGGCACTGGAGATATAATGACCTTGTCCTGTAAAGAAGGGTGAATGGGAATTGGTTACAGTAAGCACAGGCTGTGTCTAATTTGAAATACAAGGGTTTCTTCCAGGTTGCAGAGGGGAGAACGTGCGTGCTGGCCCACCACGACCCCAGCAGAGGAACCAAACCCCTCAGCGTGCCCAGGGGGCTCCACGTCCTCTTTTGGGGTCAGTCCTGGGGCTGGTGGCTCTGCTGGGGACTACATGGCACCAAACCCGTCAAAGGAAACTGTAGCTTAAGCTGCCTCTCAGAGTTTTAAGTTGCTGGCTTGAAGAGGATGAGCAATGTTTGCATGACCCGCTCCCTGCAGGGCTCTGGGGAGGAGGATCGCAGCCTCAGCTCTTTCTGGAGCAACTGCCTGATGGCAGCAGCAGCATTTCTAGGTCAGTCCTACAGCTCAGGGTCACTCGTTCATCGGCAACCAGATAAGAGGCAGAGCCCTTTGCACCTCCCTGACGTGTTGGCAGAGTGTGGGCTCAGGGGGAGCCTGTTGGGATTTGCTGAGCTTTTAGGAAAATGCTGTTTTGGTGCAGTTGGGGGCAAGCGGGAGAGCCCTTCACCCCTCCCTGTCCTTACATCTCGAAAAGTGATGTTGTCGAAGCCCTGGGGAGCACTGCTCTCCGACAGCGTCCCGCTCGCCAGCCTTCGCCGCTTCATCCAGTACCATCCTCCGGCGGACACCAGCGCCAGGACGATGACGGCCAGGAGAAAGCTGAGCACCACCTCTACCACAAAGCTGCTGGAGGATTTCTCTGCAGGGGGAGGAGATGTTGCCAGGCTTGACCCACCGCCCAGGAGAGCTGGCTCCAGCCCCAGCCTCAGTGCTAGCACCCCGAGCAGCGCTGGGTTGACCCTTCTCAGCTTGCAGCCAGAACTGGCCCCACACCTTCCACTGGCACCTCTGGGCTGGAATGGCAGCCCCTCCCGGCACTGTACATGATGTCGTCCAGTGCCACCGTCCCCTCCATCGGCCACCTCCACGTGGTGGTCTCAAAGATGATCTGTGGGGGAAGATGGCGTCTTGGGGGGTGATGCATGGGGAGGGCACCCCACACCCCTGAAGGGCACCCTACACCCCAGAGGGGCCCTGCTCACCTGGAACTCACTGAGGCTCTGCACGGGCACCACGCTGCCCCGCCAGCCCCGGCTCCGGTGCCCCACCACGCTCCACACTATTCGCCGCCCCGACGCACTGTGCAGCATCACCCGCAGCTCCATGCCGGCTGCAACGTGGAGGGGGACAGGTGCCCTGGCATCAATGGCCGCCCAGAGCCCCCGAGAGCCACTGGGCCCTCCCGGCTGTGCCATCCTGCCCTGGGATGGCGGCACCCAGCGGGAGCGGGCCATCCCCACCGCCCAGCCGGAGCTGCACCAGAGTGTCCATGGTCCTGTGGGTGGGGAGGGGGTTTGCAGCCCCTGACCGAGCCTCCCCGCTCCCATCGTGGGCTCATTACACCCTCCCCAGGGACAGCACCTCCTCCCTGCACCTGCAGTGCTTACAGAGGTGTTCCGGGATGTCCATGTGGTACCAGAACCGCAGGCAGGCGTCAGCAGCAGCAGGCAGGTGCTGGCTCTCCAGCCGGGCAGTGGTACCCCCCGGGCCCAGCACGCTGGTGTCGAAGTGCACGTAGTGACCTGGATGGGCAGGGACAGAGCGCAGGGTGTCCCCCAGTTCTGCAGCCCACCCCGCGTGTCCTGCTCCCCCCCCTCCCAGAATGCCCAGAGCAGTGCCCAGAGGATTGCACCCCCCCCCAGCCCCACTCCTCACTGCCTTTGGGACCAAGCTGTCCCTCTCAGGCGAGGAGGGGGATGGCGATGCTGTGGAGCCAGGGCCCCTGGGACACACTGGAGCTGGGGGGGACATTCATCGGTGATCCCACCCATTCCCAGCTCCTCTTCCTCCCTCTGGCCATGCCAGGGTGCCCTGGGAGGGATGGGTGTCTCCTACCATTCCTTGTGCCCAGGGTGTGATCTTGCTCAGGGCCAGGGTACTTGGCAAGGGGGACCCCACTCTTCCAGCCCCAGGCGAAGCTGTGCAGGCGGGGGTCTGAGGGGCTGCTCCAGCCGCACATGTCCCGCTCAAAGTCACAGGATGCTGGGAGGAAAGGGGGGCTGTGATGCACCCAGCACTGCAGGCACCTGCTACCCTGCACTGCCCGGTGGGAGACGGGGCATCGGGGCGGGGGGGGAGAAGCCCCCAGCCCCCTCCCCACTGCCCTCAGCTTTGGGCCAGGCCAAGCTCAGGGCAGGAGCAGGGTGCCCGGCGGCCAAGGCAGAGCTGTGATGGGCTGTCCCCATCCCCACGGCCATGTGCCCCCATGGGGTGCCCATGTCCCCCAGCCAGTCCACGGTGCTCCCGCAGCATGGGCTCTCACCTGGCTTGGGACAGGCTCCGTCCGACACCTGCAGGTCGTCCAGAGCGATGTACCCGTGGTCGCCCCCAGCTCCCACTGCTTCAAATATCGCCTGCCAGAGGGGTGTGCAGGGCGGCACTCTGAGGCTGGCAGCCACCATGCACCCCTTGTCACCCCCAACCTGTCCCCCTCCCTGCCGTGAGGTCCCTGGCACCCTGCCCCATCTCACCTGCCAGTCCCCATCTGGTCGGACAGTGACATGGCCGCGGTGCCAGGCATCCCCCTCCATGGTTGTCACGCCCATCACCTTCCTCCGCACCCCGCTCTGCTCCACAAATACGCCGAGGGAGCCTGCCCAGGGCACCCGCCATGGAGGGGGAGGTCCGGAACTGTGCTGTGTGGGACCCCCCACCATCCAGAGATGCTTCTGGGGGCCTCGTGGGGGACATGGCGCTCACCTGGGGTCCCGGCGCTCAGCTGGTACCAGAAGGCCAGGCACTGGGTGGGCGCGGAGGGCTGGTAGGGCTTGGAGGTGAGGGCAGCTGCACGCCCCGCAGGCAGGGAACCCCTGCCCGTGCTCACCACCATATAATGGCCTGGGGGGGGAAGAGAAGCCCCCGCGCCATGACCCCCGCCCGGCCCTGCTGGGGTGGGCACCAGGGGACCACTGGGCCTGGGGAGCCCTCCCAGGTTGGGGATTCCCCCCCAGGTTGGGAAGACCCTTTGGGTTGGGGAGCCCTGGGGCTGGGAAACTCCAGGTTTGGGGAGCCCCAGTGCTGGGGAGCCTGGTACAGTAGTGCCCTCTGCACATCCTGGGCAGTGCAGGCAGGGAGGGCAGGCAGGACACAAGTCAGATAGGCAGGGCAGGGAAGGCAGGCAGGACACCCAGGGCAGGCAGGACACAGGGCAGATAGGCAGGGCAGGTGTGGAGGACAGGTAGGGCGCTCAGGGCAGGCAGGGAGGGCAGGCAGGGTGCTCAGTGCAGGCATGGAGGGCAGGGGAGGCAGGCAGGACACTCAGGGCAGGCAGGGCAGGCAGCAGGGCTCCACCAGAGCCCCAGGAAGCCGTGGCCCCAGTACCTGCGGCGGTGCCGGTGGTGTGGTCGGCCAGGGGGCCGGTGGTGGTGGTGCCGGTGCCGTTACTCTGCCACAGCCAGGTGTGCTGCCCGCTGGCTGCCAGCCCACAGGCATCCGCCTCGAAGGAGCAGGAGAGCTCAGCCCCGCAGGGCCCCGCTGTCAATGCCAGGTCGTCCAGCGCCACGTCCCCCAGGAACCCGTCCCGCAGGGCCTCGAAGGCCACCTGCCACCGAGACAGCGGCATCAGATGGCCCTGCGCCCCACCAGTGCCTGGTGGCACGGGGGGGGACCCGGCCCTCACCCGGTACTGCCGCTGGTCTGTGGCAGGCAGGGGCGCGCCGGTGCCAGACGCTGCCTTGGGTCCCCCGCCGTGTCCACAGAACTGTCTCCTCCGCTCCTTCCAGCCGCAGCTTGAGGTTCAAGGTGCCTGGGCAGAGGGGAGCATTGGGCAGTCGTCCTGCAACCCTCAGGGACCCTGCTGTCCCCAGGGGAGTGGAGCCTGGCTGGGGCATCCCTGGGAGGATGCCATGGGGCTGCGTACCGATCTGCGGGCCAGCCAGGCGATACCAAAAGGAGAGGCAGCGTGGGGCGGCAGTGGGCTGCTGGCGGTAGGTGATGAGCTGTGCCCGCTGCCCGTGGATCCACGGCGCAGAGGGGTCCGCAGCCAAGAAGTAGCCTGCGTGTCGAGGACAGAGAGGGTGGAGGGGACACGGACATGGGTGCTCCGAGCTGTGCCCGCATCACCCACAGCCCCGGTCCTGGATCTGGGTGCCCCTGGGCTGCCCCGGCTGAGCTTGCCCCGCGGGCATGGGGCTGCTTGGAGTGCGCAGGGCACATCCCGGTCCTGGGGACAGGAGGCTGTGGGGTCCCCTGGGCTGCCTGGGGTCCCTGGGAGAGGAGCCAGCTCCTTACCTGAACCAGTGGTGTGGTCAGAGCCCTGCCCCTGCCCTGTGCCGCGGACCCATTTGAAGTCGCTGGACTGATCCTGGTACCAGCCGCACATGCCCCTCTCGAAGTTGCAGGATAGCTCTGGCCAGAGAGAGGTGACCGTGGTGAGGGAGCGGGGATAAGGCACCCCAAAAGCAAACAGGTCCCCAAAATGTCCCTTTCCCTCTGCTCCCCTGTCCCACTCCTCAAGTTCACCCCTTGCAGGTGCCCTGGGGCAGGATGGGTGCTCGGCCCCGGCCCCAGGGCTTGTGCACCGTGGTCCTATCCCTGGGCTGGGGACAGGGTGACGGTCACCAGGCAGCCCCTGGGGGAGCAGCATCCATCTCTGCAGGCGGGGGGCCGGGGTCCCTTCCTGCCCGTGGCCGCCCTCCCTGCCCATGCACCCTTGGCCATACCTGCAGCCCCCGGCGGCACCGTGTCGGGGTGGCACTGCACGAATGTCACGTTGTCAATGGCGGCGCTTGCTGAGTCCTGCAGATCCACCATTCCCAGCAGCTCAACCTGGGGGCGGCGTGGCGGTGGTGAGCCCCAGGGTGCCTGGTGGCACTGGCACTGGCACTGCCCTGCCAGCAGCCACCCAGGCTGGTCCCTGTGCCCCCGGGGGCACCTGGAAGGGCCGTGTCCTCTCCCCCAGCGGGACGCGGACGTGTCCCCCGGCTGTGCTGCCGTGCCCTGGCATGTGCCAGGCCAGGTGGGTGGTGCCAGTGGTGTGATCCACGATGCTGACGGCGAGGAAGCCTGGGTGCAAGAGGCGGTGCGGAGGCTGCAGGGACCAGCAGCCCCCAGCCGCATCCTGGGAGCCCCCTGGGGCCCCGGCACCCACCCAGCCCACAGCCACAGGGGACAGGGACATCCGTGCTCCAGGATGGTGTGATGGGGCAGAGCGGGGCTGGGAGAGGCAGCAAAGGCAGGCAGAGGGTGGGGGGCTCTGCCCTGTGCCAGCGTGGGGCAAGGAGCGGGCAGGGCACCCCAGGGCTGGGCAGGGAACAGGCAGGGCACCCCGGGGCCAGGCGGGGGGGGTACCTTGGGGGCCGCTGTGGATGTGGTAGCTCATCTCCATGGCACAGGCGGGGCCGGAGGGGCCCAGCAGAGGCGTGCGTGCCTTTGCAGCAGCCACCATTTGTCCTTCTCCTGCCTGGAGGGCCAGGAAAGCCCCTGGGCAAGGAAACACCCTGAGAAGTCGGGGCAAGGGCCCTGCATCCCTGGCAGCACCCCCAGCCCAGCACCCTGCCTGGGCATCATCCCCACCCTTCCCACGGTGGCACCCACCCACCCTGGCCGGGTGGGAGCAGGGCGTCCCTGCACCCTGGGAGCCCCTGCAGTGCTGGGGACCAAAGAGCATCGTCTCGGCAGTGGGAACAGGCTCACCTGTGAGGACAGTGTCGGCAGGCTCGGTGGCCCTCTGCACGCCCCAGCGCAGCCGCCCCACGCTGACATCGTGCCAGCCCCCAGCCCCCGCCTCAAAGGTGGTCGCACCTGCAAAAGCCCAGGCTCAGCCCTGCCAGGCCACCACGCTTCCCAGGGCCTGCGTGGGCACCCACGTCCCCCGGCCATGCCAGCCAAGGGGTGCCTGAGTCACCCTGTTCTGGTCCCCTCTGCCACTTGGCTACTGGGGAGCCGGCTGCCCGCCCGTGGCTCTCACCACAGTGCTTCTCGTCGGAGCCGTCGGCGCATGTCTTGGCAAAGTCGCAGGCCAGCTCCGCGCTGATGCAGCCCCCGCTGTCACAGGCTACCTCCTCAGCTGTGCAGGGGCCGGCACGCGCCCGGCTCAGCAGAGTGGTCGAAGGCTTCTCTGATGGCGAAACACCCCGGGATGGAGAGCGGCGGGGGGGGGGGGGGGGGG